AGCTAATTTCTTGAACAAACCACTAAGCTGCTTTTTTTTTTTCCATTCTACCACTAAAAGAGCTCAGAGAATGAAGATACAGAGCTCTGTTTTTAATGACTGTCTTGTTTTTACCAGTTCACTTCTCTTTCGCCATTTTAATATCTTCACAAAAATATGCTATGATGTCTTGGCATGTTCCCCAATGTTCTGCAGTTTTAGTATGACTCTATTAGTGAAAGTGCTTATATTTTGCTCTATTACCTCACTCCTTAAATTCACCAAATAAAACATGAAACAACTGAGATTAATCTCAAATGCTTCAGTTTTATTTAAGATTTCCTAAACATTTTTCCTCCTCTCTCTTCCTGGAAAGGTATATAACTTTTTATAACAACTGTTGCTCTTTGTTGTGTTGATTTTGGTGTGTGTATCTCATGCACATCTGCCTGATCTTCCTGGAATCTGTTAAACCTGAGGGAATACTAATACACCAGGATCCTCAACTTCAGCATGACTTTCTGCTGCGTCATAGCCCAGATTTCCTTTGCACTAAGAGAGCGACTAAAATGATCACAAACTACATGACCTTAGTATATGCACTCAGTATTTCCACAGCAGTTGCTTGCTTTCACATAAACTACCCTTTTAAGTGTCACTGGAGAGTTAGCTACACTAGACATTATGTTATACGCTTTTAAACAATTAGGTACTTGTTTGATTGGTAGCAGTTGATATTCAATCCCCTTTGTTTTTTTTTAAATCATGATTCAATATTGTATGTTATTTCTAGACATCTATTGCAGGACCCCTACTGGGGGGGCCTATGGCTATGTTCATATTAGATCAGCTGTATCATAAAAAACACTCTGTACTCAGTTATACGTTGCTTAGAACACTTAAAAGCGGAGTACACAAAGTTCTTTTTCTGACAATATCTGGACACCATTTTCCCCCACAGGACCTCAAACACAGCTCTCTGAGGCCAGGGAGCGCCTATTGACATCAACGGGTGCTGGAACGAATCCTCAGATTCCCATTTCTGCAAGACATTAGTTGCAAACTTCCTTCAGAGAATAGGGATAGCAACAATTTGTTGCGGCACACCAAATAGCAAAGACTGCTGTTTGAGCAGTGTGCAGGGCTCACAGAGCTGAAAGAACAAGTATCAACATTATTTGTTGATTCTGGCACACAGGTAGAAAGGAAGAACCTGACAACCCTGTGCTAGTGAAAAATGACTCTCCAGCATGGAATTCGTAATGAAAACACTGTCTGGCACCCCGTGTGCGTGGGAGGGCATTTCATGCTCTGTCAGGAACTTAATGCAGCAACAATGAAATGTACTGATAGAAAGGTGAGTGAGTGGGAATGGGTGAATACTGTAGAACTCAAGGAAAAACAAGTTTTATGTAGTTTTAGAAAGCATGATTTAAGAACCTTCCTATTTCTGTGTAATGTAGCCCCCTCTTTTCAAGCACAGTCAGTCTAAAAATAAGAAAATCTGTGCTATTACACTTGAAACAGAAGAAAACCCTCATCTTGTAGCAGCTGATATCAATATTCATACAGAATGTATGCATTAAAAATATACTCATGAGGTTACCTGCTTCCCTGTTTCTTTACCTATTCTCTAACTATCTACATGTTGCTACTTCAGCTTCACCTCTGACTTCCATCCATACCACATACACTCTTCTTTTTCTCTAATCACTGAGAGATCAAAGAGTCTCTGCAACGTGCAGCACAAAGTTCAAGTCCAATTTTCGTATGTTATGTCAAAGCATCTGAAAACAGCTCATTTACCCCTAGCTATTAAATGCAAGTTTCACCATTACATCAAACATTTTGTAACCGGTATTTCACAAGGCTGTTTAAAGTCTTATGACTATATAGGCAGTGTACAGCTGCTACTTCTACCATGCACAGGGTTTTGCTGCCATTTTCTTTAGAAAGTTGAAAAACATCGGAATATTTAAAAAAAAAATAAAATTACAGTTTCCATCACCACATCTCTCATCTGATTTTTCCCATCAATTTTATTTCCTTGAAGGCACATTGTTCATTTACAGTTGACACATTTCTCCTGTTCCCTCCACTACCATGCTTAGTCATTGAAATCTACGTCATATTAAGCAGACTATTCCATCATAAGACAACAGATTCAATAATCATTTATTTATAAATTCAACTGAAGCATTTCAAAGTACCAGCTATATAAGGCTTATGGAGTCACCTCAGCTACAGTTTATTTACATCTCACCACTAATAAGTACTTGCCAACTTCTGACATCTCAAGACAGCTTCCAGTACATTCAAATGCGTTAGAGGCTGTAGATACTGCACACACTCATTCCACCACCTATTTGGTCAACAGTCTGGAAAACAGACTGTTTCTAAACCATATTATCCTTTTTGTTTGTGCTCGTAATCATTTTAAGGTCAATCATAGTTTGTACGCATTTAGGCAGAGCAGTCAAAGAATTCTCTTAGAAACAGCAGAATGACTTGGTTGCAGTAGCAGGAAAAATCTGCGGCACTGTCTTTTTGGCCTTTTGCATATATACCACTTCAATTCAAGAAGGCTGGAGATTTAGGACTATATTGGGGTTGTTATTCATAGGAAAAAAATAATGAAGGGGGAAGTTGAGAAGCAAAGAACAACTTGAAAAAGATAAGCTTTCTTATTCTCACTGCTGCTACTAGCAATCAGAATTTCCAAAGTAATAGGTACATTATCAGATATGCAATTGAAATCCCATGCCACTTTACAGATAGTCTCAGCTAACGGTACAAACATGACACTTAACACTATAGAAATAACTCAGCATAAGGATAGCTATACATTTTAATATGGTTGTAATTTTCCCCTCCGCTTTCTTAATGGCCTCAACTTCAACTGCTTTAGGAAGCTGACTACATGCTCATTCGCAGAGGCTAGTAAAATATACAGATCAGCCTATCTAAATACAGCACATTGCAACCTCCACGTGTGTGTGGCAAGCTTCCACACAAGCACGCAATGGAAACAGCTGAACAGCGGAGCCATTGTGCACCTAAGAGTGTGCCCAACACGGCTACTGCAAGGACTGCACAGGCTTGTTCAATTTAGCATCTCCACCTCTGCACAAGCAGCTGTTACCGCACACATAGCTAGCCTCATTAAAGAATCCCCCACACCAGTGTCTTTCAAATTTGTCACTGCATTTTTACCTGGTAGCTTTCCAAGAAAGGTGACAACGGCCACTAAAGAGGCCAAGACTAGAGAAACTATTACTTGTAAGCACTATCACCATCGCTAAAACTGAAATACCAGTACCAGGAATAATTAGTCTATTTGTGCTATACTGTGGCAACAAACAGTAAAAAATCCATGTCTCCGCATCCAATTTTACTTTGGGAAGAGAAATAAATACTAAATATGGTGGATGGAAGACAGTTTATTTTTTTAACCAATTATTCTACTTACATAAAATCATATTCTAAAATAAATTCTGTTAAAATGACAATTAAAGAGTGCCAGAAACTTATTTGTTGGGTTAAATTCAGCCTTAATTCAGAACTTGTTTACTGGGTATTCAATGATGCAGCAATAATAATTTGCACTGCAAAATACTTATTCAAAACTAGACTGTATTAAAAAAAATAGGCTGGTTATGTTTATGTGGCATGAAATGTGAAACTCAGCAATTGATTAGAACATACAACAGTAAAAAATTTCTTTGCGTTAGGCATAGGTATCAAAGACTTGAAGCAAGCATTAAGATACTTGCCTTATTAAATACCTTAAATAAGACATTGCTAGCGCAAAAAAAAAAAATCAAAACTCACAATTTTAATTCCTTTGCTACTTGCACAAAACAAAAACAAATCTCATTTTTAATAAGCAATACACTAAATTTGTAAAACAGACCACATTTTAACAAAAGCTTTCTCTTAAATATGATTTATGAAGACAAAAGATGCTCAGCATAACTAAAGAACAAGTGGAATTACCAGGTTTATCTAATTTTATACTCAAAGGACTTAAAACCAGACAAAATAGTCAGAAAAATAATTAGATATTTTGGTTAACAATAATCACTGAACCATTTCAAACACTCAGTCATATTGCAGCCCTGATTCATGCTTGCACTCCTACATCATCTTTACCTCTATGTCTACTTATAAAAAGAGCAGTGCATAAAATTAGTTAGTAAAAGTATGATCTCTTAAAAAAAGGAATAATGCTTGAAATATACTAAATTTGAATAAATAACTATTTTTGGTACTACGTCAGGTAATTTTTAGACCCTTTCCTGTGAAATTAGGGTAATGATACCCTATGACTCAGAAGCAGAAACCGAAGTTGAACTGAACATATGCTGGCAAGGACAGATCAAACAGATACGTAGGAGGTTGTGAACAGCAGACTGGAAAAAGCTTTTACATATAGAATAAGTAATCATAGGCTTACAGAATGTACTTCAGGCTGTGTAAATTAGAGTAGTCACATTAACCCATCATAGCTTTATCTGAGCTTTACAGCAGGTTAGAAAAAACAACAGATTTAAAAACTAATTGTCCAAAAAAAAATTTACAAGGGCAGATACCTGGGTGAATTTTGAGCACTCGAGACTACAGAAACATGCTCTGTGCCACGTGGTCTTACAATGCACAGGCCCAGGGTTTCTGATTCCACACTATTTATGTCAAAAGTGATTTCACCAGACAGCACTCGCCCGCAGTTTGCCATCTTCACACATTTCATTTACCTTTAACTCAGCATCTTTCAGCCCGGTTGTTTATCTATGCTTTTCACACCTTCAGAACTTTCCTACCAGGGATTTTTCTCTGCCCTTTATTAGCCCCTCCAATGTAAATCTAATTCTTCTGCTTTCTTAATTCTTCCCCACTGTTTTTTTACTAATGAATGCTCATCCATTAGTCACAACTTCTACACCACATCTACCATGAAAGTTTTCTATGCTCAAGCAGCAGAACACAGGTGTTACTCAGGTTATGATTAAAAGGATCCTTACCTTTCCAAAATCTCTCACGTCAAACAAATCGAATGCTTCAAAAAGTTCACTTTTCTTCATCCCAAATACTTCACAACATGCCGAAAGAAAAGTCCTTATATTCTTCAAGCAAAGAAACTAGGGGAAAGAAAACAAAAATACTAAGCATCAAGCGTGTCAGTTTGCAACTTGTGTGCTCACTTTGGTCACAAATACATTACAAAATTCACCGATACAATCACTTGCAAGTCAGCACTTCCACTATGCTGTGATCTTCCACTGGTTCTAATTCAGCCATAAAAGTTCCCTTCAGACTCAAAAGCGTTAACTAAATTCTGAGTAGACACTTTGTGAACAGAAACTATTTTCTCTCCTTTTATGTAAACAAAGAGAAATGACAATATGCTACCAGATACAAATTAGTCTAAATACAGATTTACTTTTCAGTTCTCTACAGACAGCACAGAACAGAACAAATAAAGTTACCTTAGTAAAATTATACGAGAAAGTTATTCTTCATGTCTACATCAAGTGCCTTCAGCTGGTAAGATAAACGTCTAGTTTGAATGTTTAATGAACACACGTGCACTGTTTTAACACACTAAAGACATTATGAACACATATTCTCCGTCTGGAACACAGGAGCAGATGAAATTTGCAATTGGCAAGTCATTTACAATTCATCTAGTGGAGATTTAAGATCCTCAAACCACCTTGATTTCCGTACTGAATCAAAGGCTATTTCCCTTGAAGCTATCCACAGGCATCAATGATCATCTGAGTTTGGAAAAGAGTAAAGCTTCTGCCACAATGCTCTCCTTATAAGGCTTTTAATGCATTTTCCTGTAGACTATTTTTCTGAAAGACCTTACCAGTACAAAATACAGTAACTGATCAACAGCACTGCAGTAACTAAAGAGGGATAGCTAAAAAGTGCAATATCCATTCTTGATAACGATTAGCACCATAAGGTACTAGTACCTTATGAGGACATTAGCTCCATGAAGATGCTTGTTGCAGAGTCTTATGATCCACTACGCAGTACAGTTCAAAAGCAAATACAGTATTTATAAGCAACAGTATTTCAAATGACCCAGCACTGTGCTTTGACTATACATTTAAAAAGTACTGATACAGCAACTCAATATTAAAACTGAGTTCCTAGAGTTCTCCACGTTATAGCGGATTCATGAGGATCATTTACACTAGGACAGATTATAGAATTGCTATATGTTCCACCTTAACGTTGTTTATAAAAGCAGTATTTTTTTATATTAATACAGACTGTCACAGCCATATCCTTCCTGAGTGCAAAGTAACAACTACCCAAACTGCTCACTCAAAGTATGCCACTGCTTTACCTTCAGCATGAGACAACAAAATACCAACTCAACGGGGAGCCCTACTTCATAGAACTAACCAGCCAGACACAGAAAAAGCAGAGCACCTGATCGATCAGATTCATAGCAAAGTTACAGATGTGAAAGCACCGATTCAACAAGAGAAGCTTCAAGAGTAGACAACTCTAGTAGATGGTTGTGGACATCAAGAGAACAGCCGACAAACTCATCGCAAAGCATCACAAAAGCAATCCCTGCACAAGCCGAAGCTCCCAGGAAGGCATCCGTGACTGACAACTGCCACATCAAGTGCAAGGGGCCGCAGATGTACCAGGTGGAGCTGTAGCCTCCCCCCTTCCCTCCACTCCAAACAGCCCCGTCTGCACGCGCTCCCAGCTCACGTGGGGCAGCCGGTGCTGGGCTGCATACTGGGCTGCTTGAGGACAACGCTGCATTTACGCCAGACTGTGTTTATGCCTAGTGAAATTTGAAAAATGAGTCTAGCTTGCTTAGTCAATATCACAAGCTTCTCTGGTTTTGCAAAGATTATAATTTTCAAGTCAAAATTACAAGGTTAGAAATCTAAGAGATGCAAAACGTATGTGCTTCTTCCACCATGATGCTGGCAGAAAGAACCGGAAGATGAGGTGGCTTGGGAGTCCACAGCTTTAAAAACAAGATGGCACATACAAAGTGACTATTGTTTTCCGATATATGTTTTTTTCCCCAGGTTTTTCATTATTTTTCTTAAAAGCCATCAAGGGCCACTAGGTTTGTCCAATGCAGAATACTGATTCCACTTGAATACCGATTTACACTGAAATTCTCACAACCACTGACAAATATTTTCCTCACTGGAAAACTCAGCTGCCTTTTTAAAACCTAAGTTTTGAATTTAGATTAGTTAGTGCTGGAGTCTGCCAGTGCAAAGGAAGCTTACAGCTGCATTAAGTTGTTTACCTCTACAGAGAGCAAGAAGTTAAGGGAGAGAGAGGAGCTGCCATGGGCATAAAATCTGGCCTAGATTTGCTAGAGAGCGTTTTAGTGAGTTGTATTTAGCTTCTTAACATAGCTAAAAGAACCATTTAATGTATCAGCAGTTATGCACAAACAAAATGCCCTTCTCAGTCTGCAAAACTTCTCCAATTATGCTTAACAGAGGTCTCCTACAATAAAAGATGGCAAGCATTTTTTCAACAAGATTTATCGGTTACTTCAAATTTGGAGGGAATTCTGTGACATCAGCCTTTTGTGTTTAAATTGTCATTACTATGAATTACGTGCAAATAGATGGGAGAGCATATTACAAGAAATTAAGTTTCCCTTAGCCCACATGTTTTAAAGGAAATGTTAAAGTACCTGCACTGTAAGTAATAAATTAAATTCTTTGGCATATTCTAACAGAGAGACGAAGGAAGAATCTAATCCCCCCCACTTCCCTTTTTTTAAATATTCACTAATTCATTAAGTGGTAAAGTGCACTTAAAGTGTATCATGTTAAACAGACTTGACATAATTATAACCTAATATTCAATAACCAGTTATATTACATTTCTTGTAGGCTCTAGAAACCACAGACTAAGCATTTGTCAAATCTACCTGCACTTGAGATGGGACCACATCATCAGTGAGTGTGCGCAAACGGTGCCTCGAGCAGAACAGGCCTCCTGACAAAAAAGTCTAACCCCCCTGCTAGTTCAAAGACTGCTTAGTGAGTTTAGTTGGGCATCTAATGATCCAGTATCCATCAATTTTCTCTTGTAAAATGAAAATGAAAGGCTTATTACTAAGCTATTAAGCTAACCACAGTAGCTACACCAGGGTAAAATTGAGAGACTACTAAAACCAAAAATGTGTTCATATTTATATGCACACATTTTGCAATAAAATATGAGGAAAAAAAAATCTTTAAAAAGAACTCATTATATGCTACTCATGTTTTGAAAAGTTATTTGATTATATTATCCAGAAAACTTTCAGAAATATTTCCAAAACTTTATATTGCAATCATCTAAACAAACAATTTTCCTCAATGAAAACAAAGATTTTTATCGCTGTGGTTATTGTATGAAGAAGTACAAATTAGTAAAAGAAACCTCTAAATTAAAAAAGGGCATACACCTAAAATCTAGGAAGTTCTATAAAAGACAACCCTCCTCGCTGGCAATAAGGAAAAGGCATCACCAGTCTGCAGTCTCTCATTAGTAAGTACAGTCCTCAGGATATTTGGAAACCTACTACATTATTGTGTTTCTTTTTCAAAGAAAAATATTATACTTCGGCACACCACAAGGGAGATCATTAAAGGCATAAAGAGCAGTTGGGTACCCACTTCTCTTAGAGATGCAAGGAGAGCTAGACATCTCCCACTTGGTCTAATCTCCAAAAGTCTCCTCCACAGGAAATGTTGTCTTTCAGTAGAAGAACTGGTTTCTCTTCATTAAAAGATAACGTAACTTTAAAAACATTCTCTTGAAAGAGTTAATGCTGCCTTTTTTCTTTTCTTTTTTTTTTTTTTTTTTTTTTTAAATTACATGGCTGTATTAGGAGACAGCAGTCCAGAATTCTTAATATGTGGATCAGTAAAAATATTGCAGTAGGGTAGTATAAGCCATGAGTCCAAAAAAGTTGACACTAGCAAAAAATACAGCTTGTATCTGGCTCGTCTCCAGGTACACCATGAGAGGAGAGCACACCCAGCACCCAGCAACAAATCGACAAAAATCACATTGGGGTTCAGGACCCTGAGAACAATTTTCAATGTTGACATCTGTAGATTATCAAGACATTTCTAAAGCACCCTAATGTTTCACAGCATAAGTAGTTATACTACTACAAACCGATAATGTTGTCATTGTCAGGGCTGCTGAAATGGTACAACTCCTGTGATAAACGACGGTGTTTTTATGGAACAGATTAGTGTTTTAGTGGCCTCTGGTCCATTCTGCACTGAATTTAATTTTGTAAGAGGCATTAACACAACATTTATTGAAATGAAAAGCAAGTTTGCAAAAACAAAAAAAAAGTCTACCACCTAAAAAAGCAGGGTATGGTTTATATAATTGGGACTGTATTTGAACAAATGGTACAGAGCGGAAGAGAGCAGGCAAACCAAATTATATTAAGTTCCACAGAAAAAGCACGCTGTTTTCTACTATAACATTTGGCACTTCACACAAAAAAGAAACATTTATTTGAGGCTTTTTCAACACAGTACACGGTTATATGTGGTAACAGAAATGTATAGAAATATTTTACAAAGGGTACTGAATAGAAATTACTAATTAGACACAAAAAGCACAGACAGGACTATAGCTGCCCACAGGGAAGAGGGATTTCTGTAACCAGGCCTCTGATTAAGGCAAGATGAAATGCAAAAGAAAAAAAAACCCACCAATTTCATATATTCTTTATTCATATAATCTTAGAGGTATTTCTCTGAAAATATATTTTAGCACTGAAGTACTTCAATGGAATAAAGGTCTGTTTGGTACAGACCATAATATTCAGTATCTAGACGTATCTTTTGTACTAAAAGCACTCCTAAGGGTGTTCAGAGACCAACACAAAGAGCTCTGAAGATCAAATTCTGCCGTGAGACATTTACATGAAATTCCAACATAGCAACACCAGTCAGGCAAGTGAAAACTGAAAGGCCAAGAAATGACAAGTATTTAGGAAAGACACAAGTTTCATCCACTTTCAACTAACTTCGTTTGTTTTAAATCACCAGTAGTGGAAAAACCAGCTATTTGTATTTATTTCAACTCCCACCTCCTTTTTGTTATGGTGATTTAGTCACAAGC